ATGTCGTCGCCCATTGGGTTTTATGACATTTGCTTTATAGCAAATGAAAGGCAAGCGGATATTAATTTCTCACCTTGTTATTTGTGATAGACCAGGTGACGTGAAACTTCGGGAGCAAGAAGGAAAAAAATCTGACAGCCAATCGAAAGTCAACATTGTTAGATAAGAATATATTACGGTTGGTCATAGAATCTGGGGTCCACTTCTAGGAAGATTATCTATCTATCTATCTATCTATTTGCTTGTCTGTCTTTTAGTCTGTTCATATCAATCCATCTTTTAGTCTGTTCATATCTATCATTTAGTCAGTTCATATCTATCTATCTATCTATCTATCTCTTCCTATCAATCTATCTTTTAGTCAGTTCATATCTGTCTATCTCTTTATCTATCAATCAATCAATCAATCAATCTATCTATCTACCTTTTAGTCTGTTCATATCAATCTATTTTTAGTCAGTTCATATCTATCTATCTATCTATCTATCTATCTATCTATCTATCTATCTAGCTGTTCATATCAATCTATCTTTTAGTAAGTTCATATCTGTCTATCTCTTTATCTATCTATCTATCTATCTATCTATCTATCTATCTATCTACCTTTCAGTCTGTTCATATCAATCTATCTTTTAGTCAGTTCATATCTATCTATCTATCTATCTATCTATCTATCTATCTATCTATCTATCTATCTATCTTTTAGTCTGTTCATATCAATCTATTTTTGTCAGTTCGTATCTATCTATGTATCTATCTATCTTTTAGTCAGTTCATATCTATCTATCTATCTATCTATCTATCTATCTATCTATGTAAGTTTCAACTGAACGGATCGTGAGGGTAATCTGTCGTAGATGTATATTATACAGGCATTACAGTTTGTTTTTTTTTAATTTTCAAAATTATATTCATGAGGGATAAATGAAATAAATCCTAAAACCCGTTCCAGGGTTTTAGGATTTATTCCATTTATCCCAGCTCTACTTACCGTATTACGCACTCTACGTTTTAGCGTTATTATTCGCTTGGGGCTTTTTCTTTGGGCTAAATACTTAACGCTCTGGATGATTTATTTCACCCTCTTCGGATGTTTCGAGTTCTTCCTTTTATTTTTCTATTTTTTTTCCACAAATACTTATTTGTTTTAATAGACTTAAAAGTTGTGCTATCCAAGGTTTTTTTTCTTACCAATATATATGCGAATATAAATGCGAATTGAGTCACTGTCGGTCACTGGGCGTGTTTCTAAAAATAAATACGCTAAAAATCCAATTTCATCCCTACCGTGCGCCGACGGCTTAATGGTTAGAATCTCCGACTGACACCAATTCAGTCGGGTTTTGATCCTAGCTAGAGGCAACCGGATGTCTAGCCACACTGATGAGCTGTGAAACAGCGAAACATTCTGTCTGTGGATGACGTTATATATATATATATATATATATATATATATATATATATAATCGATTCACTTCAAGCAACGCAAGAATGCCATTAAAACGCAGGTTGGTTACAGTGAATGAAAACGACAGAGAATCAGAAGACTAAAAATATAGAGGATTGAAGAAAAGGCAAAAAAAAAAAAAAAGAAACGGGTTTCAAGAAGACAGAAGATGGCGATTGACGTTGCATTCAAAGTTTTGAAGATTGAAGTTATCAGGGAAGCACAAAATCGGAAGGGACTTCCACACGTGGGTTAGAAGTGCAAGAAAAAAAACTGTTAGAGTAGAAATCGCGATTGCATCTAAGCTAGTCCAACAGTAAACGCGTGAAACCGAGTTGCCAATATCTATATAGTCGTATTCGTGCTTTTCTCCGATGAAATCCAGTCTGAAGTGGCTGCTATACTTAACAACGAGATATTATCAAATAGACTAAGTCCGACAGTTATTTTAATATATTTTCTGTTTATACGTTACTTTTCTAGAGACAATCATTTAATGTAAATGCCCTGCATATAATAAACAGCATTAATTACATTTACCGACCTAAATGCCCGGGAAATTTCGTAGAAAATATGTGTCCGCAAAACCGTCATTTGACCTGACGTGCTATACAATTCAGCTACTGAGAAAGCGTGTGGTTAACAAAAAACCCCATAAATTTGGAATTTGCTAACCAGACGCTTTCTCTGTAGCTCAATTGTATAGCACGTCAGGTCAATAATAACTATTCAGAAATAGTGGTATTCGTGATTTTCGCAGATTAAATCCATTCTGAATTGGTTAAAGCGATTCCTATACTTAAGAACCAGATATGATCAAAGAGACTAAGTTTGATATTTATTTTAATATATTTTAAGTTCGATATTTATTTTAATTTATTTTAATTTATCTAAGTTCGATATTTATTTTAATATATTTTCTGTTTATACGTTACTTTTCTAGAGACAATCATTTAAGTAACTGCCATGTATATAATAAACAGCATTAATTACATTTCCCGGCCTGTATGTCCGGGAAATTTCGTAGAAAATATGTGTCCTCCGACAGGACTCGAACCTGTACCCTACGCGGATCCGTTATTTGACCTGGCGCGATACCATTTACCTACAGATGAAGCGTCTAGTTAGAAGAAAAAAAAAACAAAAAAAACAGTAATTTAGACTTTGCTAACTAGACGCTTCCTCTGTAGCTAAATTGTATACCACGTCAGGTCAATGATAACTGCTCAGAAAAGAAAGGCGAATTAAACTCTATAGAATGTAGAATCGGTCAAGATGAAAAAAAGTGTCGCAGTTGGGAGAGTAGATTTAGATTTTCTTCCAGAGAAATGGTCGTCCCAAGAATGCACATTAAATAAACGGAAAATGGTTTCGGAAGACATTCGTCCTCTTGAGGAAGACAACCGTTTTCTTGCAACTTTAGGACAATATAAGCAGGGCGCATGGACCAAGTGGGAGAATACAAGCCAGAATTGTCATTTGGAACGATATTAAATAAATGGGGCCCAAGAAACAGCATTCTACGACATCTTACCAACACCAGTCGACCTACATTGCCAGGGGTTAACTGCATCCTAACAATGCAGTGTAAGTGGGAAATCTGCCATCCTCAAACATATTGTCTCTGGATGCGAGAAGCTGCACGTGGAGATGCAATGAAGTTCTGGGGTTTATTGCCGATGCTGTAAAAAGGTGTTGTGAGACTGTCAATAAAGTTTTGATTAATAACAGCAATAAAGCAATATATTTCGTTGAAGTAAGAAACAGTTCGAAATTTTCGCGTCAGCATAGGCACAATATTTTTTGTGCCAGAGTAGGTAATGGCTGCTCCAGTTACTGCTACGCTGGAACTACTTATTTAAGACGCTGCATACTGAGAAAGACAATATTCGGAAAATGAAAAACTGGACCCGGTCTGGACATTAAAATCGGCATATGATACGTTGATGAAAGAAACAGAATTATTTCGCGTGAGCATAAACATTTTTGTTTTGGAATATTATAAAGTTCTTTTATTTAGCGGCGAATATAAAAGAATTAAGGAACAGGAGAAATTTCCAAGTGTTTTCAATGTATTTTCCTCTTCGTGTAAATAATCCGGGCTGCATATTCTTAGAGCTCTTAGGTAGAACCCGATGATTATGCTGGATTTTATTCTGTTGTTATGATGGAAATTGAAATTTGTAAGGTCATTTTTGTTGGTTGATTTCCGGTGGCCACCGAGGTTTAAAATATTGTGAACGCCGTGTAGCTTGATATCTAGGAAGGGTAAATAATTGTGTTCTTCCATTTTGTATGTAAATTCCATGGTGTGTCCAAATTTGTTTAGTTATCTACTAGGACAGATAAATCAGTATATATAAGTAGATCATCATCAATATAACGAAAGCATGTTGATTGTTTGAGCAAAATATTTTGGAAAGGGAAGGATTCGAGAAATTCTGAGAAGATACATGCCAACATTCCACTAAGAGGCGATCCCATTGGTAAACCAAAATTGTGTTTGTAACAATCATTATTAAATGTGACGTCGCATTGATTGGTGACAAGACAGTTGATTTTTATTATTTTAGCTGTTAGTAGAGAGAGCTTGATCTGTCCTGCGCATGTTTAGTCCTGCCAACATAACAAATTTAGTCCGCTGAAGTTCTAAAGTAACCATTTTCCACTTTGTCATACAATTTCTCCAATACTGTTACTGATATATAAAAATATAGCGTTATCTCATATATATATATATATATATATTGGTTTAGGATTTGGTATATTAGTCGCGGATAGTGGTCATTATTAGACAGAGCATTTGGAAACAGAAACAAACATGGTCCGATGATCGCTTAAGGCATGAAACATCCAGTGTACATTCGGTTTTTCCTCACACTTTATATCTATCTACACACACACACACACACACACACACACATATATATATATATATATGTATATATATATATATATAATGGAGAGGTTATATTTGTTCGAACGAGAGAAAAGTGTATATGTTAAAGAGTAGAGACAACCCGCAAACGTTTTTTGTTATAATGTGTGTTTTTTTTTTAAATATATATTATACTATATTTTCCATATTTTTGCTACACGGGTTTCGGGTCTTGCGACCTTCATCAGGCAAAGAGTGGTTATTTCCACATTGTATTCAAAGGAATTCATTTTTCTTTATGTTTTCCGATAATTAAACATTTTCTTTTTATATTATTAATTTTTATACATATATATGTATATATATATATATATATATATATATATATATATATATATATATATGAAAAATTTCTCAGAGCTATGCTGTAGAAAAAGACAATATTTATAAATGTAAAAGACAATGTGGATTATTTCAAGGCAAAAACAAAACGAATTTATTAAAACAATGCAACTAGTAATAACAAAAACAAAATGTCTTAGCAACTGGAAGAGTTTAGAGAACGCTATTTTCAGTTAACAGTATGAAAATAGCGTCCTCTAAATTCTTCCAGTTATAGGACATTTTGTTTTTTTATTAATTACATTGTTTAATAAAGTCATTTCGTTATTTGCCTTGAAAAGTTCCACATTGGACGAAACGCGTCGGCTAATATTACAGTTTTCCTATTGTCTTTTTTACACACACACACACACACATATATATATATATATATATATATATATATATATATATATATATATATATATATATATTATATAATTGGACGAAGTCTCATAAATATTTTAAACTATTTCCTATCTGTACGTTATTTTTATAGATACAAAACAAAGCATTTGTATGTATACGAATAACGTATGAACAATATATATATATATATATATATATATATATATATATATATATATATACCCCATTCATATCTATCTATCATTCTATCTCTCTGTCTATATATATATATATATTTATATATATACATATATATATATATATATATATATACATACATACATATATATATATATATATATATATATATATATATATATATATATATATATATCAAAAAGTATATAATTGGTGTATACGGAATTAAAAGTATATAATTGGTGTATATGGAATGAATTCCAATAAAATGATTTCGTTGTCAAGCTTTTGAATCTTTCTATACTTGGTTTTTGATTGGTTATTCTAGCTTTTCTAACAATGTTTTCCCCTAGCGAAGGATCGTTAATTAATTAGAAACTTTTAAAACCATTTATTTTATCTTCAACATCATCACTTGATAAGACACCGAGGGTGTTGAAACAAAATGGCTATTTTTTAGTGATTTTATAACATATTTATGTTATGAATTAATTGATTTAAAATATTGTTTTTTTCGCTACACAGTTCTAACCATGTTCCAAAAATGAAACATGGTTAGAACT